GTTATTTTCAACAAATTTACAAAGCACGTTGAAATTTAGTTCGAAGTTCGAATAAAAAAAGCACATCAAAATTTAGTTATAAGATAGATAGTTGCAAGATAGTTTATGTTTTGATATTCAGTGAATATCTAATGTTTTCGAAGTTGCCTAATAACAAAATTATTTTTTTATCATCCAAAATGAATTTTTGCAAGTGGATCGACGAAGAAAGTGAAGAAGAAGTGTTCGGCGGTGAAAGTGAAGATGATGATGATGATCAGATAGAAATAAGCGATCATGATTCTGAATCTGAAGAAGATGTTGATGAAGACAATAATTATGATACAAATGTTCAATCGGATGCTACAAAATATTGTAGCAAGGACCAAAAAATAATTTGGTATGCCAACCCACCTGCTAAAACTAAAACGAAAAAACATAACATTTATCGTAATAAGCCGGGTCCAACAAAAATTTCAATCACCGCTGAAACAGTGTTAGAATCGTTCAATATGTTTATCAGTGATGAAATGATTCAGATGATAACAAATTTCACCAATATCTACATCGAAAAAATCAAAAATAACTTTGGTAGAGAACGAGATGCAAAGTCGACTGATACCTGTGAAATAAAATCTTTGATCGGCCTATTATATTTCATTGGTGTTTATAAATCTGGTCGACAGAATATCAAGGATTTGTGGAAAACGGACGGAACAGGAATCGATATGGTATATTGCACTATGTCATACAATAGATTCAGATTTTTGATAAGATCTATCAGATTCGACGACATAATTACAAGAGAAGAAAGAAAAAAAAAACGACAAACTAGCAGCAATTCGTACATTTTTTGATTTATTTGTCCAGAACTGTAAAAAAACGATAATCCCAGGTCCATATCTTACTATTGATGAGCAATTGGTGGCCTTTCGTGGCCGATGTTCATTCCGGCAGTATATTCCATCAAAGCCTGCCCGATATGGCATCAAAATATTTTCTTTGGTAGATTCAGAAACAATGTATACTCTCAATATGGAGATCTATTGTGGCAAACAACCGGATGGCGAATATAATGTTTCTAATTCACCGTTAGAACTTGTCCCAAGATTATGTGAAGTGATCAAAGGTACCGGTCGAAATCTAACAATGGATAATTGGTTCACTAGTTATCCTTTAGCCATATATCTCAAAAAAGAAATGAACATTACAATGATGGGTACTATTCGACGAAATAAAAAGGAATTACCGCCAGAATTGATTATTTCTAAAGGCAGAGAAGAAAAAAGCAGCAAATTCGCCTTTACTGAAGACTGCACTCTTGTTTCGTTTATACCCAAAAAGAACAAAATGGTATTACTATTATCGACAACGCATGATGATGAAAGCATCGATGAAAAAACGCAAAAACCAAGCGTTGTGGTCGACTACAATAATACGAAATTTGGAGTAGATATTGTTGACCAAATGTGTGGTTTTTATAATACTTCAAGAAACAGCCGGAGGTGGCCGTTGACCATTTTTTTCAACATTTTGAATATTGCTGGTATAAATTCGATGATTTTATATCGAATGAATAAAAAAGAAAAAATCATTCGCAAACATTTTTTACAAGAGTTAGCTCTCAAGTTTATTCGACCAGAAATTGAAAGACGAATCCAAAAACATGAATTACCGAGACAGATAAGAATAAAGTGCAATTTCATTTTGCAATATGAAAATGAACAACCGAGCAATCAACAACCACAACGAATCGGAACCGGACGTTGCTATATCTGTCCGAGGAATTTAGACAAAAAAACTAAATATATTTGCGATGTATGTTATAAATGGGTATGTAAAGGACATGTTGTAAGCCAAACATATTGCGAAAATTGTTATAGTACTGATGAAAAAATGGAATCAGAATAATTACAATAGAATGAATGTAAAAATTGATTATTTCAATTCTTGAATTTACTGAATTTGATCTGTTGCATGAATAAAATTATATAAATAAAATGAAATGAAGTATTTTCCTTATTAAAAATTAAAAAATTA